CTATCTAAACAAAAAATGAAAAAATGTCCTCGGGTAAGGATAAAAAAAAGAGAGAAAATGAGGTGGAGAAAAGATTCCCAACACACATATATGACAATGTATGTGTGTGCAGTATTTATAAAAAACTCCCACAACTCAAAAACAGACTAAAGACTTGAAGAGTTACACAAATGGCCAATAATCACACAGAAAGGTCCCCAATGTCATTAATGATTAGAGAAATGTAAACTAAAACTACAATAAAATACCCCTGCACACCCATCAGAACAGCAACGATAAGAAGACTGATAACACCAGATGGCTGATGAGGATGTGGAGCAACTGGAAGTCTCTTGCCGGTGGAGATATAACATGATTCAACCACTTCCGAAATTTGGCAGCTTCTCAAAGTGTTAAACATACACTAATGTATGTTCAGAAAGTTCACTTCTAGGTATGTACTAACCATTTCAGTCCTAAGTGTTTACCCCAAAGAAACGAAAGCATACATCCACACAGAGACGTAGAAATGAATGTTCGTAACAGCTTTTCTCATAAGAGCCACAAACTGGAACAAACCAATAGCCACCAAATTGTGATACGTTCATAAAATAGAGTATCACTCAGAAATCAAAAGAAAAGAACTGCTAATAATACAACACGGATGAAGCTCCAAAAGAAGCAAAAGAAGCCAGACACCCAAAGCGACATACTTCCGTACTGTATTATCCCATTTATATGAACTTCTTAGAATCGGCAAAACTTACCCATAGGATTAGAAATCAGATCAGCGTCTGTGGTGGGGCTTTACTGGGAACTTTCTGAGGCTATGGGAATGTTCTATATCCTTACTGGGATCCTGGTTACACGAGTATTCATTAGCTCCCTCAAGCTCTGGCACACAGTAGGCATCTCCTGAATGCTCACTGGGTGGCCAGCAGGTGGCCCCACACCCCAATTAACCTGCCCTGACCAGCTGCTCTGAGTCCCTGGAAACAGGTTCCTTTGAGTCACTGGCTGCCTTCTGCCCGTCAGAGGAAGAGAGGGCAGAACCATCAGAACCCCGGCAGCTTGGCATGTCACCTAGCAGACACTTGGGCTGCATTGGTGAGCAAGGTGTTTGGGCTTGGCAACCCCTCTCCCCCTTTTCACCGTTGCCCTGCCCGCCTTGTGAGGATTTCTCCCATTTAGGAGATAAGAAAACTAAGACCCCGCAACGTGTTTTATATGCCTGAGACCACAGAGCATTCCCACAATCTGTCAACTGTCTGGCCCGGATTCTCAATGTTTCGCTTTACTGTTGGGGAACCTCAAAAAGTGAAACAGCCTTCCCGAAGGCTTCATGTAAACCAAAGCTCAGGTCTCCTAGCTCTAAACAAAATAAGCACACACACATAGGGTGGGCGGTAGGCTTCCCAGACCCTTCCCTGCCTGCTGACCTCGACTCCAAAGGGTGCCCAAAGGGACAAAGAACTTTATCCTGCTGGGTTTGGGGGCAGCTGTGAGGAGGCACTAGGGAAGCAAAGGGCTCAGCCCAAGACATCCAGGTCCAGAGACAGCTACCCAGGGAACTATGCCCCACCCCCTCCCTGCCAGGGAGAGAGCTTCAAGCACTCCTGGAAACACCGAGACCCCTGCAGGGCTTGCCGCAGACTGCATGTTGAGGCTCAATTGTGCCGCTGCAGTGGAGGGGCTGAATAGAGGGCAGAGAGGGACTGCTGTGGAATAGCAATGAGCCTGGCCACTGGAAGCCAGCCAGCTCCAGGTTTGCAAGACAGAGAACTCTGCTGTCGGCTGGGTCAGGGGGAGCATCTCTGGGAAGAAACATCTCATACACACACACACGCACTCACACATGCACATGTGTGAATACACCTCTTATGGATTCTTTATTGAAAGGTCCCAGGGAAGTCACATGGAGCCCACACAAATGCCTGTATCTGAACAGGCTGGTGTGAACACGTGGCCATTTGACTTCTTAGCTCACCTGATACCAGCTGTCAGGGATTTGTTCCCACTTCACTGACAGCCACACTGAGGTCCAAAGAAAGTGACTTGGACGAGCCTTGGTTTGTGAGAGATGCACCCAATGCCCGAGATCTGGGGGCCCGGCCCAGGGCTGGGCTAGTTCCTAGTCCAGGTTCCTCATGGGCTCTTGGAAGTGACCCAGCAGACTTGGGGACAATCCTTCCATCCTCTCCTCTGCTAACTACCTCTGCTGCACACCCCTCCCCCACTTGGGCACCAGAATGTCCTCTTCCCCACAACAGCAATGGGCCAAGTATGGCCAGAGCAAATCCTTCCCTGGGACAGGGACTGGCAGGCAGGCAGGCAGACACCCGAGCAGAAGCCGAGACTGCTGAAGCCATAGTCTTGCGTGTGACGGCCACGCTGGCGCAAGATCAAGACCAGCCCCAGGGAGAAGCCCAGACAGGCAGAGCTGAGGGGCGCAGAGAGTCCTGCAATTCTGCATCAACCCTGTAATCTATCAGAGACACTCCCCAGCCCCTGGGGTGCACAAAATCCCCTTTTTGGCTTAAGCTGGCCCATGACACCTCCTTTTCAAGCCACATCCTTCCTTCATAGATTATTTTAAGCCTGAGACTCAACATTATATTTTATTCTTTGTATTTGTATTATATTTTATTTTATTCTTTTATATTATATTTTATTGTTGTATTACGTTCTTTTGTATTATATTTTATGCTTCTCCCACATGAGTGTGAACTCCCTGAAGTGAGACCCCTGTCTACGGCTCTCAGACTGCCTTCCTTGCACCCAGCATGGGGTCTCAGGCACAGTGGGTGCTCAGCAGCCAAGGAAAGGAGTGTCTGTAACTCTGCAGCATGTGACTAGACAGACTCTATGTGCCTTTGCACCTGCCCATCATTTCACTGGACACAGTACATGATGAGGGTTGGTCTGAGCCGCAGCCTCCGAGAGACCTCCAGACGCCCTTTAGAATGGTAGGCCATCCTCTTTGAAGCCTAAGGCTGGAACCAAGGTCTAGGAAGTTCATACGATGCTGCTTTGGAGAGCAGGCCCTTTGGAGTGAGACCCCACAGGTGGAGAAAGTCTGATTTTCTGCAATGGAAAATCCCAGAGGTAAATTTGGGGCTGGATTGCTTTTCTCTCAAGCAATGTCAAGTACTTCTCTCCTTGAGGGCTGAGATTGCTGGGGTGGCAAACAGGTGCCGGGCACGAGCCGTACACCAGGCACCCCACTCAGTCCTTCACATGCATCTTTGGCTGGAGCCCCCAGATGACTCCCAGAGTGGGCACTGTCGTTCCCACTACACAATTGAGAAAATTGAGGCAGGAAAGCTGGAGGACTTGTGCAAGGTCTCCAGGTTGGGAAGCAGCACAGGTCTCAGGAGTGTGAGCCTGTCCCTGCCTTCCAGCATCGCCACACTTCCCCCACACCCCAGGGAGAAGGAGGTTGAGGAGGGCGTGCTGCTGCGGAGCCTGACAAGCTCTCAGAAATCTGGAAGGTTTCAAGACAGGAGCTGAGGAAACATGCCACTGTCAGGGCCCCCCTCAAGGCTGCCACAAGGGTCCCTCGGGGTTGAGGGTGCTCCATTGCTGGAGTAGTCAAAAGACAGTCTCCAGCGTCCTGCCCCCTCCCCTCCCCTCCCCTCCCCAACATTCTCACTGCCAAATGAAATCTGGCAGCTTCTGAAAATAGCTCAGTGCTGCAGCAGGCACTGTGCCTGCCCTTCAGCAGGCTGGCACACAGCTGGGGGTGGCCACTGTGGGCAGACGCTGGCGCACACAGGGCCAGGGGTGGATGTCACACACAGTGCACTGGGTGGCAGAGCTGGGGGTATGCGGCAGCTGCCATCCCTCCTCTCTTCTGACCTGTCCATGCCTGGAGGGGCCACGGTGGCTCTAGAGCCAGCCTGGCCCCTTCTTCAGGTCTGAGGCCCCCTCTCCAGTAAAGGTAAAATCACCAGTAGGTGTGAGTGGCTGCCTTTGGCCACTTTTGTCCACTCATGTAGACAAAGAGAAACCCAGGAACCAGGAGGAAATGCCAAAATGGTGTTTATTAATAGGACAACCCAGCAGTGTTGTCCTGTGTGACGTGGTCAAGGGTTTCCCAGCCAGTAAGGGGTGAGGAACCCGGAACCAGGCTGGGTGTCAGGCACTTGGCAGACCGATATCAGGGGCAGTGTGTGGCTGGGGAAGCCTGGACTGGCAAGGAATTCTCTTGGCTCCGACTCAGGCTGGGACCAGGCTTTCAAAGCTTCACTCAGCAGCCCTCCACTGTCGCAGGTCTGGTCTGGAGTATAAAAAAGACCCCTGCCTGCCAGGGAGCCTCCAGGCCCTGCTCTGGCCCTGCACTCTCACAGAAGTCCACCAGGGTAGAGTCCACAGTGAACTGTTATGGAGAGAGGCTCTCCAGCCTGGGATCCCGTGAGCAGGTGGAGGCAGAGAAACTGTACTGGCTTTTGTCACAGTGACATTTTCCAAAGTAGAAAAGTGTTAAAAATACCTCCTACCCTCCGCTGAGATGAGAGGCCACTCTTTGGGTAGGGGATAGTAACGAGGGCTGGGCCCAGGGACTGTGGAGGAAGAGCTTCAAGGGCCCTGTGAGATGCAGCAAGGTGGGGCTGGACCACCCAGGGAGGCAGGCAGAATGACCCTGTGGCCTCCAGGAGACCCAAAGGGCTGAGCGCAGAGACAAGCAGTGGGAGAAAGACCAGCCTCCCCTGGGAAGGCAAAGGCAGACCGAGCCTCAATTGCCCCTTCTCCGTCCCTTGTTCACTCACTCCACATTCACAAACAGTAACTCTGTCCTTAGTCACCATGACAACCAATGGCCAGAAGCCTTTCCCAAGGCCAGGCCCATCTGCCCACCCCATGGGGGGTATCTTCATAGAAGGAGGGAAGCCCAGCCACAACTCCCAGCGGCCTAGAAGTCGAAGGCCGTGCCTAGGGCAGGACAGAGCCCTGGCCCAGAGCATTCTGGATGAAGGCGGCGCAGCTGCAGCGGGTGGCTCCCAGCCCAGCCACTGTCCTCATCTAAGGCCGGAGCCTGAACTGGGGCTCTGAAGGAGATGGGGGGTCATCGTACTCCATCCTGAAGTTTCAAGTGACAAATTAAAACACAACAAAATAGTCCTTTTGTTTAAAAAAAAATGACCCTGGGCCCTCCGGGTCAGGGCCTTAGCCCACTCCAGTCTGTCCCCGAGGCTCAGAGGCCCAGCTCCTCCGAGGCCCCGCGAGCTACTGGTTGTTACAGCCCTGCGAGGCCGAGGAGCCGCCCGCCTGCTTCTTTCTTCGCTTGTTGAGGAGCGGGTTGTTAGAGGTCTTCAGGTCCTTGATCTTCACCTGGTCGTAGTCCACTCGCATGGTTGCCAGGGCACTGGTCATCTCCTCCTGGGGACAGATGTCAGGATGTATTGACCTCAAGAGCCATCACCCTCCTACCTGGGCAGCCCTTTAACAATGCCAGTGATGTCAATGACAACCTTTACTGCCCAAGTACCTACTGTGTGCCCAGCACCGAGCCTGCCCATCTGCATCACCCAGATCTCCCTACAGTCCTCGGTGGTGGACACCGCGCTCATCTGAACCACAGAAAGTGCCTTAATGACTGCCTCGGACCACACCAGGGTAAGCAGGACAGGGATCTGGACCACTGTCACCTGCTCAGAACCACAAGGCCTGAAGAGATGCCATCTTACTGGACACAAAGGGCACTGGGGCTTGAAGACTGTGCCCTGGAAGTCTTGGGGTTCTGAGCTGCTGCCCCGTATGCTCAAACCTGGCCTGTTGAATCTAAAACCAGGCCGAACACCATCCCAAATGTTGTAGACTATAAGACGGGTTAAAGCCAAAGCTTGGGGCAAAAAGCCCCTTCACTGAGCCCTGGCCCAAGGCCCTCCCGACACTGAGGGAGTGAGCCTGGAGCACCACCCTGCAGGGGGCAGTGCAGCTCAGTGCTCCATGTGGCACTGTGGGCCACTGGTGCAGTCATGGACCCCTGTGCTCCAGGCATGGGGCAGGGGCCGAAGACCCAGACTCTGAGTTGTAACCTTTTCCAAAACCTTGGAATCTGCAGGGAAACTGAGGCCGAGTTCACCCACCTTGACATCATCCCAGTGGTCTTTGTCTTCCTGCAGTACTCGGGCTGTGTGGAGGGGGGTCTGCGGCACCACCATGGATTGCTGGAAGGAGCCCCAAGCCCATGAATTAGAACCTGGTCATCCAGGATTTCACTGGCTCCCCCAATACCACTTCTTCCAGTCTCAGATGGGGAAACCGAGGCTGAGGGAGGTAAAGGAGTCTGACTGGAGCAGTGGCAAAGTGAGGTTGTAGGTGGGGCACTATCACACATCTATGGCCACACCAAGGCCTCCTGATCCATCACCCTCCTGCCTGGCAGCCCTGCTTGCCACCCTGCCCACCACAGGACCAGCAGTGCTCACATTGATCCAGGGATGGTTCATGAACTGCGTGATGGTCAGCCGCTCCGTGGGGTCCGTCTTCAGCAGGAGGCGGATCAGCTGCTTCGCTAAGGACAAGAGGGGAGTAGTGAAGTTGCAGGGTTCCTCAGAGCCAGCCCTCAGAGCTCCCCAGAAACCACAAGCTCTGCAGGTGCTCCCGAATTCCCAGCCCGGGAAACAGTGAGCTAACAACTCTTGCTCGTGTCAGCCTATCGGAGCTTGGTCATTTGTTAAGCAGCAGTGAGTAACTGATATAGGGCAGAACTGCGTGTGGGCCCCACAGGGAAATATGAATGAGGCACAGGAGTTAGAGGAAGTTCTGAGGCAAATTCTGAGGCTATTTGACAGATACAGAAACTGAAGTTCAAAAAAGTCAGGTGACTTGCCTAGGGTCACACACGTGGGGGAGCTAGCACTCAAACACAGGTCATTTCACCCAGAATGAAGGCTGATGGGTCACTCACCATCTTCAGAGACCTCTGACCACTCGGGGTTGGGGAAGCCATACTGGCCCAGGCGGATCCTCCTCTTCATCCCTGGGGAGATAGCCTGGCCCGTGTTGGAGTAGAAGGGCGGGAAGCCGCACAGGCTGGGAGAGGGCAGAGGTCATCAGGCATAGGTGTGGGGGCAGTGCCAGAGCAGACCCTTCCTCCTCCCCAAATTGCTGACTGGGGACACAGGCAGCCAGACACCATGCTAACAGTCCCAGCCCTCTGGCCCCCTGGACTCTTCCCAGGAACGCTGTCTCCCCTTGGTATGGAGAGGCCCCCAGGCAGCCTGAAGGATGGCATCCCATGACCAGAAGGGAAGGGCAGCTTGCATGAGGAGTGACCTGCAAGGGTGTGTGGTACTGAGCATGCATGGTGGGGAGGGATAGGAGGGGGTGAAGGAGTTGTACTCACAGGATGTACATGATGACTCCCAGAGACCACATGTCACACGACTTGTCATACTTCTCAGGACCCAGGACCTCAGGAGCTACCAGAGCAGAGGGCACAGGAGGGCTCTCAGCCCTAAGGGTCTTGGAGTCTAGGCGGGAGCCTGAAGCCTGGGCAAGGTGGGGAGCAGGTACGCATACTAAGGAGGGGGGCAGAGCAGACTAGTGTCTGGCACCTTCTGGGAAGGCAGCATGTGTGAGATGTTGGGGGAGGAAAAAAGCTCCCAGAAAAAATAAACCTGCTTCTAGGCTGGGCTGGAAAGAATGATTGCCTCCTGGCTCCTTTGGTCCAGTCTCAGCCTTGATGAGGAAGGAGGAGAGAAAGGCCGGTCTGGGACTTGGTGAGGTCCTGTCATAGGTGAACGGGCCTCAGGCACCAGCTGCCCTGTGTCCCTTTCCTCCTCTCACACAAGGCAAGAGGGACTGGGGCCGGGCACTGAATCCCACTGTCTGCTTGACTCATCCCATGGGGCCTGGGTCTTCTCATCAGTGCAATGAGATGGGTAGGCCAGAAGATTTTTTTTTAAGTTAAAACACTGCAAAACCTGTCCTGGTAAACAGAGTGCCATTTCAAGTGTGTGGGGGCTTCCTACCCCTTCGGCAGCTCTCTTGGAAAGCCTCCCCTGAGGGAGAAGGGCCCTTGGCGAAGGGAGTCATCACGCCACTCACGTGAGGTGCTTGTAGCAGGGACTTTTCCCGGTCTGAGGGCTGCCTCTTCCCAGGGGAGCAAGGAACTCTTCCAGGAGTACGAGTGTTTGCACACCCCAGCTCCATCCATGCCCTGGCCTGAGGGACCCTCTCCCACAAGGCAGGTGGCCGGTGCCCTGTGTCCCTGTCATGTGGGAGGAAAGGCCTGCCCACTTTCTGAGCATGAATCCCAGGAAGATAAGAACTGGAGAAAAACAACCATGGTTGGGCTCTGTCCAGAGCTGACAGCAGCCTTTTATCACGTATATATTTAGAGCTGCTGTGATGTCATTCAGCTCACAGACCACAGCCAGAATCTTCCTGGATCTGTTTTCAAAAGCAGAAGCTGAAGTTCGGAAGAATATTTTTGCAGCCTCTGGCCCCCACATCACTGGCTCCACACAGACCGAATCCCACTCCCTCTTTACTGCGCTTCAACCCTCGGACTTCTGCACTCACCACCTGCCCCACACCGCCTCAGGGTCCAGTGTGGGGAGAGAGGTTCACACCATGTCCTGAAGACTCACCCACATAATAGGGAGTGTAGCAGGGTGTCTGCAGGGCATTCTGGGTGGTCTCCTTGGCAAAGCCAAAGTCGGTGAGCTTGAGCACTGCGTCTTTCTCCTTGGATGTGTACAGCAGGTTTTCAGGCTGTGCCAGGAACAGAAAACAATGGTCTGGAGTTAGGCTCCAGGTGGGGGCAGAGTCCCAAGGTGACCTTCAGCCAGACTTCCGCTCTCACCCCACTGATGCAGGAGGAGCCAGCCCCATCCCATGAAAAAGACCTGGGCCTGACCACCACCAACATGGGCCAAATATAGAAAAGACCGAGGTGACCGGGAGGTGATGCCTCCTGAAGAGGGGAAACTGAAGCAAGCGTTCAAAGTTGTCAAGAACCAAGTGCCCTAGAGAGCCCAGAGGCGGGAACTTCTGAGCCTGAGTTGGTGATGCTGCCATGAAATGCTAAATGCAGGTTCTGGGGGAAGACAGGCTGCTCATGAGCCAGTGTTGCCAAGCACACGTCCTGTACCCAGCCCACAATGAGCCAGCAGGGTAGCCCCACCTGAGGCGCTCAGGGAGGAGGCCCCCACCTCTCAGGCCCCCGCAACTGCACAGAGATAGTTCTTCCCAGTTGCAGAGCACAGAGAGACCTGAGGGGTGAGGGCAGTGGGGAGGTCTGCATGGAGGAGGCAGTCCTGAAGTTAGTTTTTAATGAATGGGTAGGACCTAGGTCTATGGAGAAGAGGAAGGACAGGGTATTGGCTAAAGTTCCAGTATAGAGCCAGTGAAAGCTATTTCTCAGGTTCTAATGAGGTGATCTGACCTTGGACTGGGATCAAAACAGGGAAGCAGGTTTTGTTTACACAAGGGAACCTCCCCTGCGGAAGGTTTTCCTCCCCTTGGGAAAAAAGGAAGCCAGGACCAAAACAAAGCAAGGGTTCTGAAGGTGAGTCTGCCGTGGCTGCACATGGACCCAGAATCCAGGGAGAACGGTAGGCGTTGGCAGTACCCAGCCAGAGGAAGGCCCTGATGCAGCAGCTGGACCCGCAGCCCTCCTGGGCCCAGGGAGGAAATTAGCCTTAGGAGGCTAACGCTCTGGGCCTGGGCAGAGGGCTCAGGACCTGCAGATTCTGCTCTGATGATGGCTGGCACTTGCATGCATAGATGGAGCTGCCTCCGTTTGCATTTCATTGGGCTGATCCTGATAACCTCTTAGACCCAGTCATCCCTGGACAGGAACTGGGAGAGCAGAGCCTCCCGCACATCTGTGAAGTGCAGCCACAGAGAGGGAGCAGGCCTGACCTCTGGACCACTTCAGCTCCTTCCTCCTCCTCACCCAGCGGCTTCTTTCCCTGAACAGGCTGGCGCAAGAGAGCCCAAGCTACTGAAACTATGGCTGTTACTTCACAGAAGCCCCAACAGTGCCAGGCAGTTCCTGCGTGAGGCCCAGCACATTCCTGTTTACAAAATTCCTTGCTTAATGAACAAATGAGCGAATGAACCCCAGTGTGGCAACTTAATGGCCTTGGACAAGACAATCTCCCTCTGAGCCTCAGTTTTTTCATCTGTAAAATGGGCAATGGCACCTAACCTCACAGGGTCAGGTCAGGGTTAAACGAGATGCTTGCCAGGACCTCTTGGCTTGTAGTAGGTCCTTAGCTAGTCTTATGGCTATGGGGACCACACAGTTTGAAGGAACTGAGGAGACCCATCTGGCCAGAGCAGAATGAGTGTGCTGGAACTGGGGGAGAAGAGACTGAGAAGACCAGTCTGGGCCAGAAGGCAGAGCCCTTGAAGGGACTTGGCCTCCATCTAGTGGGTGCTGAGAGTCTTGGGGATTGTGGATCACACTCCCCTCCCTGGTCCCCTAACCTGGTCCTGGAGCCTCACCTTGACGTCTCGGTGGGCGATGTTCTGGCTATGCAGAAACTGGATGGCGGTGCCAATATCACGCATGATCTCTGCAGCTTCTATAGACAGAGGAGGGGTGAGTGATGGTAGTCAGAGGTCAGGCAGCCTGGGGGCCCCCACCCTGATACCCCCAGGACAGCACAAGATGATGACATGCACTCTTACAACCCACGACCCCCATCCCACACTCCTACACCAGTCACCCTAATTTCCTCTGGGGATGCCTTAGCCCACTAGACCTCTTTCCTCAGGCCTGGGCTACCTCTCCCCAGCGCAGCAACTTGTCGGTACCAGAAGCTTTGAGGCTTCTACCCCAAGGCCATAGAAAGCTCATCTCCAACAAGGTGTTACAGACTCTTTGGAGCAGGGACACTCTGTCTGCCTCTCTCTTGTTCAGCAGGGGAGACTGAGGCACAGAGCAGGGCCTTGCCCAGCATCACGCAACAACTCTACCCATCTCAGTCCGAACCCCCACTGCTCCAGCTGCACGCATGTACCTCTCTCAGTGAAAGCCTGGTCGCCACGCTCCTGAATCCTGCTGAACAACTCACCACCTTCCATGCTATAAGAGAAGGTGACTGTAAGCAGGGAGGGGGAATCGGCGGCAGCCTGCCCCTGGCCCAAATCATGGCCCCAGACCCTGCTGCTCTTGCCCTGGGGAGCCTCCCTGTCAGCTCCCGTGTCTCCAACAGCCTGGAGCATGGTGGGCTGTCAGCTTGGGCACTGAACTGAACTCTTAGGCCCTCCCCAGGGTGCTCTTGTGTTTCCAATGGCACTGCCCCCACCTGGCTGAGGCTTGGGCAACCGCACCCCCATACAAGTCTTAGTTTCCTCAAATGAGAGGTATCAATTATCATCATGACCACTGTTTTCTGAGCATCTGCTATGACTGTGCCCTGGGCAGATGATTTGTGTGAACAGCTGTGTGACCCTGGGCTGGTCCCTTCACCTCTCTGTGCCCTAGCTTCCTCTTTTGTAAAATGGGATTATAGCACCAGCCTCACAGAGTTGTAAAGACGGAATCGGCAGTACACATGGAGCACTTGGAATGGAGGAAGTACAGGGTGAATGGTACATTAAGATTTTCAGAGAGGTTCATAGCTGCCCAAGGTCACACAGCTACTAGGGGGCAGAGCCAGGATCTGAACCCCAAATCTGACTCAAGAGCTGCTAACCTTAGGGTAAGGGGGGCCCAAAAGGCAGACAGGGAGGAGCCGGAGGCTCAGACATGGGCCTGAGATCTCAGGGAGGCTAAGGCTGAGCCACAGTGCTAGATGGAGGACACTGCAGGCTCCTGGCTCTGGGTCCTGGTCACCCAGCATCCGGTAGGAAGGAGAGAGTTGAGGGACCTCATACTTCCTGCGCTTCCCCAAACCTCCCCACAACCACCTTCAGGTGTGGTGGCCTTTTCTGACATCTCTTCCAGCTCTTCCTCGGAGTGGAGGTCACACCCAGGGAGGCCACCTTAGAGTCCCTGGTGTTTCCTCTCACCCTGGGAATGGCCTTGTGCTAGCCATACCGCTCAGGGGCTGGGGTCCCTCCTGGAGCTGCTATCTGAAGAAGAATGGCAGGGGCCTGGGGACCACAGGGGTGCCAACAAGGTTCAGGGCGGTGGGCCATACCATTCCATGATGATGAGGAGACAGCGCTTGCTGTGATGCATGTTCTCGTACACGTCCAGGATGCGCACGATGTGGGGGCCACCCGAGGCCTGCCAGTGGTGGTCCACCTCCTGCCGGGCCTTGGGGCTGTCGTACAGGAGCTGGAGGCAGGTCAGCATAGGGAGTGTCAGGCTCACAGCAGCCACCCAGATAGTGCCACTGCCCTCACTTTGCAGAGAAGGACGTGGAAGCTCAGAGAGGCTGTGACCTGCCCAAGATTGCCCAGCTCATGAAAGACAAAATGAGGATTTATATCCAGGTTTCCCTGATGTGTGGTCCAGTGAGCCTCTAGACCTGATTGAGGGTCAGCCTCATGCAGCTGGGCTGGTGACTCAGGGAGGCCGCGGGAGGGGCTGACAACTTGGAAGGGCTCAGAGGCCAGAGGACCCCTGCCTCGCTTCTCAGGGCAACAAGTGAAGTGGAAATTGAAGGGTTTGTTAAGTCCAATCACACACCAGCTGTGGGATCCTAGGCCAGGGCCACACATCCCTTGAGTCTCGTTTTTACAAGGGGATGGCACGAGGGTTGTGGACCCAGAAATAGAGTCTGGGGGCAGAGAGGACCCTGGTTGAGGGAGGTGATGAGATGGCCGGGTGGAGTGAAGTCCAGGTTTGAGGCTAAATTTCTCCAATGACTCAGTGTGGCCTCAGGCAAACATTCCCAGCTCCAAGCCACAGCCCACAACTCTGTAAACTGGAGTAGTAAGAGTCATCCTCACAGGATGCATCACAACAAGGCAGGAAGGTGGGCGGCGCGGAATCCTTGCTCAGGTTAACTCAGCCCTGGGCTATGGCTGCCAACCATAAGGCCAATTACTGGAAATGAGCAAGGCCCTGGAATGGTCCTGCTTGGAGGAGATGTAGGGGAGAAGTCAGCTTGCAGGGGGAGGTGGCCAGAATGAGGAGAGCAGCAACAAGCCATCCCCTGGCAAGACTGCTCACCAGAAGCCCAGCCACGTTTGTTTTCTAATAGACAATGGCTGAAGACCAGCGCAGAAACCAAGACTGGGATTCAGATCAGTTCCGTCTTGATCAGCACCCGCAGGACCCTGGGCCACCCCCAGCCTCAGTTTCCTCCTCTGCCAACGCACTGTTGGGGGCAGGCTCTGGGCCCAAGCTCTCTAGGCAAAGGTAAACCGTGGCATGGCAGGAAGAAGGGCAGTGGGTTCTGGCATTTACTGCCCCTTGGCTATCCCTCCATTTCTGGAGCTGGTCCCAAACTGGCTGCACGCTCTCAAGTCTGTCTCTGCACATGCCCTCTTGCCCTCTTGCCCTCTCCTTCTCCATCCAGTCAACCTCCTCCTCCTGAGGAACCTTCTGGGCTCAGTTCATTTGTCTCCTCCGCAAAGTCCTCCCAGCACCTGCCCCAATGGTTTCTGCCCCTGTACCTCCCACCAGGCTGGAAGCAGCTTGAGGGCAGAGGCAGGTCCTGAACGAAGGGGGGACGGGGAGTTGGGGGGGTGGATGGGCTGCAGTGGGAGGGAGCCAGAGATATGGGAGGGAGAAGAGGAGGGGCCAGAGAGTGAAAAGGCTGGGCCTGTACCCTGTGCTTCCGCTGAGGTGGGGGAAGGGAGAGCTTCTCCGTGCCTCCAAACCCACTCAGTCCATATTTAGGGACTCACTTCCTACACAAATTAAAATAGTCCTTCTCTGAATGCCAAGGCCCTGAGAACAGCACAGCAGCAGGGAGACGATTGACCCTAGAAACCACAAATGCCATCACTGGCCTCTCTGCAGGGGCCCCATCCTGGCCCAGTGGCCAAAAATCTCCTGGGCTGTCACTCTTGATCCATAGGACTGACCTTGAGTGTGGTCCCAAACCTCTTAGAGTCTCAATTTTTTCATCTTTCTTCCTCATAGCCAGAGCCTTCTTCTCCTTCAGGAGCCCTTCCAATGCCGCCTCCTCCCAGAAGCTCTCCCTGATTATCCTGTCTAAAGAAGGCCTCAAGGGTTCCTCGTTTTCTCCCCACCCTTTATTTTTCTTCCTTTATATATGTGCTTTGTTTATTGAGGTATACTTTACATACAGTAAAATGCACAGATTTCAAGAGTCCAGTTCAAGTAGAGTTTTTTGTTGTTGCTCTTTTTATTACCAGTTCAATGAATTTTGACAATTGCACACACCCCTGGAACCCACACCCCCATCAAGACAGAAAACATTTCCAGCTCTCTGGAGAGCTCCCCCTCATCCTTTTTTACCTTCCTCCTGTGTAGAACTTGCTCACAACCTACAATTAGCTTATCCCTTTTGATAACCCTCCTCACACACACGCACGCACGCACACTGCACATTGCACGCACAGTGCCTGGCTCTGTTCTGAACCCTTTACAAATATTAGGAGGAAGGGACTTCATTATCACCATGCTTTAGCTGAGAAATGGAGGCACACAGAGCAGAAGTAACTGGTTCTAGATCGTGTAGCTGTTTCTCCAGCCAGGCGACCACCATGCTGCCTCCCTCATCAGACTGTGGGCTCAGAAGGGCAGGCCAGTCAGCCTGGTCACCTGTGGGTCCCCATACTGGGGTATAGGGCCTGGCACAGAGCACTGGCTCAGATAATATTTATAGATTTAATGACCAAATCTATAAACAGGAGGTAAGAAACCTTCACAGTGCAGTATGAGGACAGAATGAGATTAAACTGAGGACTCAGGAAGGCTCAACCAATGAGACACATGACAAGCTGGCCAACTTGTTTCCCACTGTACCTCACCCACCCTCTCTGGTGAATCACACTTAACCTCTCTTCTAAGGAGCCCATCCTGACTGCTCCAGCCCACAAGGCCATTGCTACAAATTGGCTTCATTCATGCATGTACATGAGTCCACACTATCCTCCATAAAAGATATTCCCCAACAACAGCCCCTTTTTTCTAGGCCTGGGAATGAGCACAGGGCTAGGAGACAGAAAGCCTAGGTTCTACTCCCACTCTCAGTGTGACCTTGGGCCAGTCCTTTGCTTCTCTGGGCTTCTGTTTTCCCAATGCTAAGCTGCAGGGCTTTGGCTTGATTGGGTGGAAGGGGACCTCTGGTCAGGGGCGTCTTACAAAGTACCTACCATAGCCCCACTCCCATATCCCTGCCCCCATGGAGTAGACCCTGAGTCTCCATAGACCCTACGTCCAAATGCTTAAACCAAAAGGGGGCCACCCAACGTCTTAGTCCCCAGTCACAGCTTGGAAGAGAAAAAGACGGGGTGGCCTTCTGCCAATCCAACAGACCCCACCCTCCTCTCCCTCCCATCCTACATCCCCTGGGCTTGCCCAGGGGTCCACTAAAGCTGGAGGGTCTGTGATGGCTCCGGGCAGCTCCACAGCTCCAGCTGGCACCCAACAGGAACCCCCACACACACCTGCGAGATGGAACCCCAGCTTTCTCCCACAGGAGGGATCCCGGCTGTACCTGAGGAGTGGCCCCAGGAAGTGACATGAGCATGGAATGTGAGAGGACATTTCCTTGAACCTAGGACACTGCTCTAGCCACAGGCTTTGATCAGTGGTTTCCAACTCCCTTCTCCCCTCACTCTCCTTTGCCAAATTTTCAGACCCTGCAGCTGGATGGCCGAGCCCCCTACCAGCCCCATCAGACCATGGACCCCAGCAAAGGTTGAGGGCAAAAGGGCCCATGGCCCTTCAGCTCACCAGGTGAAATGGGCCAAGCCTCCTCACTACTTCCCACGGTGTCCCTTCCCACCCAACGACAGAGGTTACTGTGGGTGGAGGAATTCTTAAGTTCAGGAGCTAGGCAAACAACAGCCGCATTTGACTACTTGAAAAACAATTTGCAATTTACAAAACACTCTCTTTTCCTATATCTCATGGGAATGCTGGGCGCCACCCTGTGAGGCAAGCAGGGTGGGGACCGTCAGCCCCAATTTACAGATTGAGGAAAGAGAGGCTCAGGAGGATGAAGTCATCGCCTTGGGGCTACCTGGCAGGAGGATGGCAGGGCTAGAAGAATCCAGACAGCCCCTCCCTGAGGGGAAATGACAGGAGGGGGTGGCCCCAAGTCAGGGAGGTGCTGCCCAAACTACAGCTTGCAAGACTTGGGAAACTTGTTCTGAAATAAATGTGTGCATAGGTGCACGGGTGTGTGCATGAGCAGGGGCGTGTGCAATGGGAGTGTGTGCATGAGCAGGGGTATGTGCATGAGCAGGGATGTGTGCAGTGGGAGTGTGCATGGGCACATGGGTACATGCAGGTGTAGGGCTGTGTGCACAGGTGTGTATGGGGGATGTGTGTGAGTGGTGGGCCGTGGGTATGCATGTGTCTCCAGCCTCTGTGATGTTGACTTTGAATCCCCAGAGTCTGGGACCCATCCATCTGTCCATTTATTCATCCAATATTTTCTACTCCAGCCTCCGCTAGCTACTCCCAGATGAGGAAGGACCACCAATCTGGCCCACATACCCACCCACATATTCAGAGTCCTCAGCCAGCTCACTCAGGGCTGGGCTCTTCTCAGGTAAAAATGTTCACAGTATCTCCATCTGTCTCATACCACAGGAGGCCCCAAGGCCACCGGTTTCCCCCTCCCCCCGCCCCCAACCTCCACACTCCCAGACACTGAACTGCAGCCAGAGCTGAGCTGCTCTGTGGCCTCTGCTGGAACACCCACTCCTTCCGGGGGAAGAGAGCCGGCCTACAATCTCTCCATCAGTGAGGCGCTGGCAAATCAAGAAATATGAACAACCCACAGCCTGAGAGACATCATCCCTACAACAAAGGGAACCTTCTGGAGGCCAGGGATCCGTCCTCTCACTGTCCCTTGGGCCACTCGAGTCCCACCACATCCATGGCCTGGCTCACTGGCAACAGGGTTTCGGGCATTTATAGTTCTACAGCATGAGAGACCCAAATAAAAAACAAAAAACACGCCAGATTCTCTTTAGAATGAAGAGAAAGAAAAATGTACCAGAAACCTATGTAAATTCATGACTAATCAAGCACATATTTGAATTCTGAACTTCCTGGGAGTCTTGGCAAAGAAGGAACCCAGGCCCTGGCCGGTTTGGCTCAGTGGTTAGAGCATTGGCCCATGGATCGAAGAGTCGCAGGTTTGATTCCGGTCAAGGGCATGGACCTTTGTTGTGGTTCGGTCC